TTCATAGTTGTCAATCCTTGATTGAAATTAATATGGTAGTAAGAGGGGATTATGTACTAGAACATTTTTAGAATTCTTTGCTGGCAAAATTTCTGCATGTTTGTGCTTGGGATATTTTTAATGCTTCACCATGAGTTTTAGAAGTAGACACTTCAAGAACAGCTGTGAAGTTACATGGAAAAAGATGTGATTGCTTTTCATTCTTCCTGGTGATTTCCAGAACATGAAACAAAAAGCCAGAATGCTTTTTAGGTGCCATCAGCTCTCAGTATGACATAGTATCTAATAGCTGCTCAGGACGTATGCAGTATAATTTTTATACTTGGACTTAGGAGAAATATAAGATTTTCAATATTAATAACATTTTTATACTACTGAAGCTCTAATCACCATTGAGACTGTACTATAAAACTAACATTTTCTGCTTCACTTTCTAATATATCTGGACTGTAGATATCAGCCTAGGCTTTTAATGTTCTGTCAACCTCTGACTGTACAAATCCTATAACATCAACATGATATAACCTTGTAATATCATTAAATGAAATAGCATCTCTCTGTGATTCCACTGAGCTATGTCAATATTTTAACATGATACTTGAAAAGTTGGTTTGCTGCCTAAAATAAGGGTATTCCAGCAAGTTTGTGTGCACTAAAGAGCCTAGTTATTTTTTAGTCTAGCTACAGAAATGAAGATGATTAGAAATAAATTGCATATTATACATTACCTGCATTTTTCTGTTTTTTATTTTGCATGAGTGTTTCTTGTTCTGTAGCTCAGTAAGTACACAGTGATTTTGTATTGCTTGTTGTTTCTGTTAAACTACATGACAATGCAATTTGTGTTTTTATACTGGCTTAGAGTGTGCAATGGCTTATAAAGAAGTGCAAAAATGTAAAATATTTCAGTAATTAGATCACAGAATGGCTTAGAAATCATCTAGTCCCAAGCTCCCATGGCGGTGTACCATGGGAAGGCATACCTTCCAGTAGACCAGGCTACTCAGAGTTCCATCCAATATGGCTTTGAACATTTCCAGGGATGGGGCATCCACAGCTTCTCTGTCAATCTCATCCAATGCCTCACCAACTTTACAGTAAAGAATTTCTTCCTAATATCTAATCTAAAACTTTCCCTATTTCAGTTTGAATCCATTTCCCCTACTCCTGTCACTACACACTCTCTCTTTAGAAGATTATTTGTAGTCTTTTCTAAGTTTATGTAAGCTAAAAATATGGAAACACATGCATGAATATCTAAATAATTCAGCAAAAATATTGATAAAACATCAACTAACAGATCACTTAGGCTGACTGTTTTGCAATTAGTCTCTTCCATGTATTCAAGTTGAAATACATTTTTCTACTTCCTTAAGTGGATACAAGAGAGAAAAAAAAATTGCTCTTTGCTGGAGAAAGCGATATTTTTCACAGAGTTTGCACTTTTTAAAATAACTTTATTAAACAGACAATTCTTTCACAGATTTTTACCTGCCTTCTTTATACTTTCAAATACTTTTATATTGGCTTGTAAACCTCCTATTTGTACAGCACTTTCTTTGTAAATAACTCCATATTTTTATAGAATACAATGAAAAAAAATACTACCTATGAAATGCTTAAGAATTTGAAACATTGTGGAAAAGGAAAAGAAAATCTGCAGGTGATATGTGAGCTCAGTTTTCAGTATAGCTCAAAATTTTGGTAGCTGTGAATCAGGGACTTGATCTTAGTATTTCAAAGGCAAGATCTAGACCACAAAATAAATGTTAAGAAATAAAGGGAGAAAAAAAAACATCAAATAGATTTAAGATGAAGAGAAGCAGAAAACATGCTTTGATTAACTGAAAGGTTAATTACTGAAAGACTTCCTCCACATAGCATGCTATTAATTAGAAAGTCTGAGCAATGTGTGATTTAATTTAACACTGTGAAAAAGGCCAACATGATGTAATAAACTTCTTCATTCTTCTTGTGTTTGTGAAATATATTACTTGGTGTTTCATTCTACTCTGGACTAAAAGAAAGCTGCTTTTCTTTTTTTCTTTATTTTTTTTATCTATGAAAGACAAGGTTAAAAAATGAGACTTTGCTAGGGATGACAACAATTATATAGTTATATAATTATATAGGATTATAATTATATAATTATATATACTACTCCTACTCCTCCTCCTACTATAATATATATAAAATATATAGGAATATAGTAATAATTATATAGGATTAGTGTTCCTACCCACCACTGTCACCTTAGCTCTGATCTGTTAAGCACATTGGACACAAGACAGAACTGTTCTGTACAGCAGTGTTTTTGGTGTCCTCAAGAAGAATATTATGGTGTCTTCCAGGAAGCAGCAACTCTTGAAACTTACATTCCTTTTCTAACATGTTGAGGAAAGTGTTCTCATAAGAATGGAAACTATAATGCTAAAAGTATTTCACAACAATGGAACTTCCAGTGGAGTGTCAGACTGTCCTTCTTATGTCTCACCAGAAACTCCTCACTCCTTATGACTTTTGGAAATATTCTAAGCAAACCATCAGCAGCACACATGTGAAGGTACTGACAACAAACAAAATGTATGCGGAGGCCAGAAACATCATCAAATTTGGCATCTCCTGGATGTACCTCAAGGACTGAAGGACCGACAAATTCCTGATTTACAAGGAGTTATAGAAATGGACAGAAGGGACAAAATATTGGATAGTGAATTTGAGGGGGTCTGGGACAGAGATCATGAGATTTGAGACCCCGTTGTTGGTGGATGCAAACATTTAATGAGGAATTTTGATGGGGAAAGTTTTTATAGGGTAATCAAAAAGACAGTCTGGGATTAGTAATGTAGTACCAGGCCTAGACAAGGCATAAAGCAAAGAATAAAATATTGTGTCACTGTCTCCCACATTTTGAGCTCTGAAGACAGTACCTTGAAGCTGGTTGATAGTGCTGTGAGCAGAAACAGCAACACTTTCAACTGCTGGGAAAGAATAAATCCTCTGGTTTTAGTCACCTAAGCATTAGTCATATAATCCATAGTGCTTACACAGGTACTCATTATAGAGTAATCAAATCTATGCTAAGTGTTTTACAAAGGTACTCTGAATAGGTAAACTCTTTCCATTTACTCCATTTTTTCAATAATAAAGTTTGGTAAGATAACTCCTGTCAAGATATTGTTGTAGATTTTGAGAAGTCTAGAAATATATAGTCATTTTCTCCAAATTTTATTTGAAGCAGATTGGTAGAATCCTATCACAGTAGAAAAATGGAAATACCAAATGCATGACAAACATCATGAGACAAGTAGGAGGAAAAATGCAAAATATTCCTAGTGCTATACAATTAATTTTCCAAGGATGTAAAAGTCCACCTTGTCACAGACTATTAATTAGAGACAGCTTATTGTCTTTCAAGGACCTTTAGCATGACCTATTCTTGTGTAATGACTTCTATTGTTCATTGCAGAGTCAGGATACCCATTTCCATTTATGCTGCTTTATGGATAATTCATTAAAATCTACCTGGCAGAGGCTAACATTAATTTGAAAAAACTGGCTGCCTCTTCAGCCTTAGAGTTATTTCTATTTAATTAACCCATGTTAATAGTAGCTAACTAAATAAAAAATAATCCAAGAAATACAAGGCAGTGTAACATGGAAGATAAAAAGAAAATATCTCTTAACCAAAGAAAAGGTTCACTCAGTCCTCGATATTTGGGACAGAAGTTTTGATACCATTTAATTTAATGTAAGCAAGTCCCAAACACATAGGTTAAAATAAATATTGGAAAGGAAGAGGGCATGATCACTTCCCACACATCTTCATTTTATACAGTCATTCTATAAATTAACAACCACACCATTTGCTGCAGATTACTGTAAGAAGTATTTCAAGTTTAGCCTGTCAACATTTTTGATTTAACAGCATTAGAAAAATATAAAAAGGAAATTATTCTTTTTCTACATTCACTGATGAACCGCAATAAGACATCAAGGACCACTGACTGGTAAAGACATTTGAGGAGACCATACAGTTAAAATAATTTTGTTAGTGAGTCAGTTTGCCTTAGTGAAATATGAAAATACAAGAACAGAAGAACTGTACTGTACTCTGTAATAACCTATTCAGTTATGATGAGGTGTAGCAAGAGTAACACATTTGCCTATGGCAAAGAGGAAACAATGAATTTACATAGAAAAAGATACTGGTTATAATTCAATTAATACATGCCAGTAACAAAAGGCTGACCATGAACCATCATTTGATGATAATGGAGTGATGTATGAGGTTTAAAGACTGCCTGAAAACCACCTAGGTTGAATTCCTTGTTTGTCCTGCCTAGACTGTGCTGTGTGACTCAGGTCACAAGGATGCAACTATGTAATTTGCAAACAGTCCAGAGCAAAAATAGGTGCAACTCCCTGTCAGACTAAAATAAGCTATGAAAATGAGGCTCTAATTTTGTAATACACTTTTCTATACAGTGTCAATTACATAAGAAAAGTGACCAGCTTCTTTATCATCCCTTTAAATCACAGGGTGTTGGTGTGATATTGAGCAGTTCCTGAAAATCATCAAGTCCAAACGCACTAATTCTCCAGGAAGGTTATTCTTATGTACAGCCCTTTGTGATGGTGGCTGTTTTATGGAGTCACAGCATTTCCACTTCCAAGATAGAAGTGCTGGTTGAGGTGGTGGTCAATGGGATTCATGCAGGTCAATTCCTACATGGAATTGGGCTATAACTAACATTAGGAGAGGTCAGCTGTGGTTTTGTCTAGCCAAAGTTTGAAAATCTCCAAGGATATTCCATAACCTTTTTGGGTACCCTGTTCCAGTGCTGTCCTGCCCTTCCAGTAGATTTTTCTTGCCCAGGTGTCTAATTTGAAACTCTCTGGATGTAATCTCTGACATCGGTAGAGAACTAAAGCTACAATTGCATTACCTAATATTAAATATGAAAAATAGAAATGAAAAAAGTAATAAAAACACTTACAACTTTTCATTTGCGCCACCAGATGCAGAAACTGAAAACTTCAGTGCAAAGTCATCTCACAACGGCTCATAAGAAAGACAAGAAAATTCTCCTAGTAGAAAGCCTAGTAGAGATCCAAATGAGAAACTGAAAGACAAGAAATGAAAATACAGTTTTCAAATCTCACCAACTTTATTAGTAATACCTGTGGTAATTACTACCAGTGTAGATCGATGGGAAATTTATTCTATTATCTGTACAACAATTAAAATGAAGATGATATTCAGTCATCTGTATTTTAGAATCTGATAGTTACTAGTCAGTGTTACCAATGTTCAAGTAAACCCACATCCTCATAGCACACCCTCGACAGTAGATCAAAATTCATATCTGGGAAAAAATAAGAAGTGCAAAGGAGCAGATAGAAGGAAGGCAAATCACAGCTTGAAGTGTGTTATCTCTTAAGATGCCTTATTTGAATGAATATAGCCAGCTGAAAATCTGCCTGTGAATCTCCAATGAATCAGCAATGTTTTCATCAAAAGTAAATCAGATTACCCTAATTCCCAAAGTATTATTGAACAAATATAAGAAGGGGAGAGTGCTACAATAAGTGGCATATTAGGAATATGAGAACATATTTCTTACTGTCCCAGCAGCTGTTCTACAAACTGCAGAAGAAAATGCTTTAAAAGGGAAGGAAGGGAAGGGAAGGAAGGGAAGGGAAGGGAAGGGAAGGAAGGGAAGGGAAGGGAAGGGAAGGGAAGGAAGGGAAGGGAAGGAAGGGAAGGGAAGGGAAGGGAAGGGAAGGAAGGGAAGGGAAGGAAGGAAGGGAAGGGAAGGAAGGGAAGGGGAAGGGAAGGGAAGGAAGGGAAGGGAAGGGAAGGGAAGGAAGGGAAGGGAAGGAAGGGAAGGGAAGGAAGGGAAGGGAAGGGAAGGGAAGGAAGGGAAGGGAAGGGAAGGGAAGGAAGGGAAGGGAAGGAAGGGAAGGGAAGGAAGGGAAGGGAAGGGAAGGGAAGGAAGGGAAGGGAAGGGAAGGGAAGGGAAGGGAAGGGAAGGGAAGTACATTGGTTCAGGAGCCAACAGATATAACTTCAGGTGAGTAGAGAACACAGTACCTTTGGCAAATTGTTGATCCCTTAACCTTGGACAATCCTATAACATACAGTTTCCTACTCATTAACATCACTATACTTCTGCTGATAAAATGAAACAATAAATTTTTATCCTATGCTGAAATGAGAAATGATAGTCTCACATAAAATTATATTTTTATAATGTCCCTATCTTAGAATGAAAACAGCATAGGGATGCAGTACCAAGACAAATGATTCAGCCTGTCTTTTGAATCCTTAAAGCCATTAAATCCTTAGTGATGTTACCTGTTAAATACAAAATTTGAGTAGACAGATAGATTGCTTCTGTGATTCCTCCACATACTAAAGCACACTATAGTCTTCAGGACAAAATGAAACCTGAGTAGATAGCATAAAACTCCATTTACAAATAGGCAAGAAAATTGCTGAAATGATAACTTCTTTTATTATTGTAGACATAAATGATGGTCAGTGGTGCATTTGCTTAGACTGTGGGGAATTTAACACAGCTATAATAAAGCTGTTAAATTATAAATGATGATGATGATTACAATTATATTATAATAACAATAATAATTGCACAACAAAGAGACCATGTCAAACTGCCAAAAGAAACAAAATCAGAGAATAATTTGGAAAAGCAGAACTCATGTCTAAATTGATGCATCCTCAGGCTTCCAGCAAGGAAAATCATCTCAGCACTAAGCATTGTAGGGAGTAAAGATTCTTACAGTATCAGCTAGTAATAGCCTCATGTCTGGCCATTTATCATGAGGCTGTGCCAGTGCACACTAAAAAAAAAAAGGGAAAAAGGGAAAAAAAGCTCAAAATATTACAAATCTACAGAAGTCTCATCCTAGTCATTGAAAAATAATAAATATATAATTTGGTTTTAATGTTTGACATTTATATGTGTGCATTGCTTACACTATATGAAAAATAATATTCTCCTCAGATAATAACAATTCTAGTTCTTGTCTCATCTCTTAGAAAGAAGTGATTTCTTACTGAAGAGTTTCTGCTTGTGATACAGGAGTGGGAACAATACAAACCAAACTGATCAAATAATGAATAGACAAAAATTACTTTGTCTCCCCTTTTTTTTTTTTTTTTGAGAAGGCTGAAAGAAAGATCCCTGCTTTATGCAAATTGCCACAAATGTACTGAAATTGAAATCACCTTTTTCTGCCCTCTCAGAAATTTTTCTTCAGTTTAAGTTTCTCTCCCCCAGAGTAATTTTTCATATCAATAGACAAAGAAAAGGCAGGTAAATCATTAATGCTCTTTTTTAATTTCTCTCCAGTTACAGATCGAAAGCTGTTGCTGATTCTTTTTTGATGTCTATAAGCTACTGAAAATAGTGATTCAGAATAATTCCTGGAAATGATTTTTAAATAATTTTTCAAATGGCTTCGATTTCCATATTTTGCATATCTATAATATATTGTCCCCATATTTCTTTGTGCTAAGGGCAGGATATTATGATTGACATATTATGTCATTCTAGAACAGTGCTGGAAGGGAAGTCACACCAGTGTTCTTTCTAATCTATTAAATAATCATAAATGAGATTTTTCTCTTTCATAGGCAAGTCTGTTCCTGTGCCACATTCTTCCAGTCCTTATTCTTTAATCCCTTGAAACATAGCAAAAGGCTTTTGCATGGCACACATCTCCTTTTGTCATGTGCCAGAAATGACTGCTGGCAGCTGCTCTGAAGGCCATTCAGTGAACCTGCACCATTCTTAGAGTAAAGCTCTGCTAGACTGAGGGACACTGTGCCAAGTCAGCTGGTATTTGTACTGGGCACCACTGCTCTTGTGCCCAGTGTGCACCTCGAGGGCTGCCTAAGGATGTAAGGAAGGAAAACAGGGGATGGAAAAGGGTTGGTTTTATACAGACTCATCTCTTTTAGCAAATGCAGTTTCTGAAGTGTAAAGAGGGGGACATTTTCCAGAGAGATTAAGTACAATTGTTACAGGAATTTATATTAGCTTTTCTGAAAACGTTAAATTAAATTTGCCTAGTGAAATCTATGAATCTGTATAAGTCCAGGAAAATAATACAAAGAGGTAAAAAAACATATTATTTTATACAGATTTTTTTCTTTAAATTTAGCAACCAATATCAGCTTTGATTGTTTTTCACAGCAATAGAGAAGTTTTCATGTCTGAAAAGAATAGCAGAGGGAAGGAAAAGGGAAAGAACATTTAAAGTTCATAGAATGGTAGAAATATACTAAGGTTTTACTTAATTCCACTTACACTGAGATCACTATGACAACAAATAATGCTCCACTAAGTCTGGGAGTAGAAGAGAAACGAAACCAAGAATTTATAAATCTTGAATTCATGGTAAGCAGAACCTTAAAATAAGCCTTTGGGCGCTAGCTTACCACCATAAAAAATAAAAGCAAATTTATATCAAGCATGGAAGAAGTATATGCTCTGCATATAATTATGTTTTTAAAATATTTAATGGCAGAGTGGAATAGCTTCATATTCTTCCCTTACAAAGTTGCATACTATAGTATTACAGTATCTATTCAGATAAGACAATAATTAATTTTAAAAACAATTCAATATGAAAGAACATATTACAAGACAATTCAGATATTCTCAGTACTTATGATATTATAACTGAAGAGAAATTAATTTAGTGTTACTGAATATCTGAAATGGTTTTTCACATTTTCACACTTTACTGTGTAACTTTAAAGATATTGTAATATTTTCCATTTGGTTCTTAAAGAAAAGCTCTTAGTCACATCAATTAAAGTAGTAAACATATTTACATTGACAAAATGTCACTAAAAATTCTTTTACTGAATGATAGCACTTAAAGTTCAGCTTCCTTTGTTTATAAATTATTTTTATGTTTCATTTTTATAGTCCTCATAAAGATAAAAGTGAAAATAATTTTGTCACAATAAAGACAGGCAAATGAAAGTTAGAAGTAGTATTCATAGAATAGGAGAATTTTTGCATGTGTTAGAATTTTAAAGCTATTGTTATAGCTAAATTTTAGCATTATAAAAATAATTTAATTTGATGCTTTATTTAGTTATATATTTGTGGCATAATTATGATATACAGCTTAAATAGATGAAAAGCTTTTCAGTACTAGTGCATAAAGACTTTTGAACTGAACTTCTAGAAATTGAAAGTGTTCTTTCAATTTATTGGCTTTAGTAGATTGTAAGAAATCTATAACAATGTGAGGACATACTAAGAATAAAATACAGCTCATATAAAAGATTAATGACTTCCTTTTTAATACTTTATTAACCTCCAGAAGATGTGTTGAAAGCTTACAGGTTGTAATTTTGGTTGAAAGCCAAAAAAATAATTTCTAACAGTTTTAAAGCAATCTTGGTTTTCAGAAACTCATAAAAGAAAGTGTTTCTTATAATCTTTTGCCTTTTTTGACTAAAATTCTTTCACATATAAACACTAAGCACTCAAGAAAATGACCAATGCATCATTTTTACATTATCACTTCAGAAGGAAAGTGAGGCGGCTTGGTAAGAAATGTTTTCTTTGTGTTCTCTTATGCTACTTTCTGTTAAACTCTTGAAGTAGGAATATATGCAAAACTATGTATTTTTTTGCTGCCTTAACCAGCTGGACATTTAATGCATCCCTTGACAAAAGAGTATATTGTGCAAAATATAAATTTTTACTGGCTACTGATGAGCCTCTTTCGAACAGTTGGTAAGGCTTCAAATAAATTCTTGGCATTTTTCTATTTGTAGGCAATTCATTCTTCTTTTAAATACTTCTCCCCACTGTGCAGTCCCCAGATAGCTGCCCAAAGATTTAGCTTAAAGGTAGCTATGATTGGATCTCTTATACAGGTTACCATCTTTGAGACATTTTCACCAAAACCTTTCCTTAATAATTTTTTTCAAAGCTAATACTTAGAGCCAAGTGAACAGCTATAGTGCTCTGCAGTGCCATACATCTACACACGTTTAAGCAACTGACACCTGACATGCATCTTTCCACCATGTTCCCTTCCTCACAACCTTGATTATTCTGTCTCCAGGAAAACTTTTGAAACCTGATATTTGTTCATTTTCTAGATCCCCATGGAATATCAGACACTGAGAACAGTACTGACACTCTCTCAGTGAATTTTCCCTCTCAGCCGCTTCATATAAAAGAGAAGATGGAGAGGCATCCTTGTCCCCAGCAAGGAGAACTGCTGAAGGATACTGCTCTGCAAAATCCCACTTCCTTGAGAGGACTGACTCTTTGGGAGGCTTTGCACCGGGCACATCCCATACTGCCAGCTTGCTCTGTGAGACTGGCTTGCAGCTCCTCTTACATGGTGAGTTGTTCATTCCTGTCCTCACGCTGCAAAGCTTCTCTCCCGACACAGCAAAGGTGGAAGGGCTCGGAAGGCAAAGCACAGTGGATACGGTGCAGAATAGGAAAGAGGGAGAAATACAGCTAAGATAAGGAGCTGGCAAACATGACACACACTGAATGGCCTCTGGGAGTTGCACAACATGTCCACAGAGGGCAGTCACTTAGATTTTTCGGTCTCTATAGGCACAGGTTGGGGTTCTTCTTTCACCTCCAGTTTGGGCTTCTCACTACAAGGGCATTGAGATGGAAGAGCATGTCCATCAAATGACAATGATGCTGGCAAAGGGTCTGCAGCACAAGTCTGATGAGGAGGTGGTGGTGGAGCTGAGGGTGTTTAGCCTTGAGAAAATAGGCTCAGGAGAGACATTATCACTCTCTACAACCGCCTGAAAGGAGGGTGTAGCCAGTTGGGTGCCTGGCTCTTCTAAGTAGCAAGACACAGAAGGGGAAAGAGTATCAGGTTGCTCCAGGGGAGATTTTGATTGAGTATTAAGAAATATTTCCTCACTGAAAATGTTATCATCTTCTCTGGAAAAGGTACTTGGCAGCTGTGTGTCTCTTACCTTTCTCTTTTCCAAAAGATATGTTAATGAAAGAAACTATAACTACGGATTCTGATTAGCATGCATATGTACATACCAGCAGGCCAGGAGCACAAATTCCACATTTCCTTTATGGAAAGTTCAGCATGTCACTTCTGGTCTTTTCTTGCCTTCAGAACCCTGCACATCCAGCACCTCAGACTGCCCTGCACCAGCACACAGCAAGAAGAAAGCACATTTGGGAGTCTACTTTCAAGCATTAGCAAAATTTAAATGTTCACTATCTTCATTAACCTTCTTTCTCTCAGCCCAGTAAAACAGACTTAAATGTCTCTGTCCAATACAAACTTCTTAGGGTGGAGAACCCTGGCTCCCCAGGCATCTTCCTGAGTCACCTTTACACCTTTGTGACCCCAGCAGCTCCAAGAAGAAACACAGTGGATCACATTGTGCTGATACATAGTCTTTTTAGTGGGCCTAGCAACTGAACCAAATCCTCATCTTCTCATAAAGAAGCCTCTCTTATTGTCCCAGGCAGGACACCGGTAAGGAAGCCTTTATTCCTGAGACTCCTGTCACTGCCCTAGTGGACACGATTACTGAGGTCATTGCTGCAGAGACCAACACAAAGGCTCTCAATCCAGTGCCACTTCTGTCTCAATGTCAAGAAAAGCAAGACCACAATTAAAGCTGGAAAGGACTTCAAGCCTGCAGGCTTATTAGAAATAGTGTCATTAGGATAAACAGCAGAGCCAATGGCTGCTCCAGAAATGCCTTCAGATTAGTCCTTCTGACATCACTGATACATAAGTGCATCATGAAGTTCATTAAAGTCAGACAGACTCCTGAATAAAGCCTATTAACATGCACAAGAGCTGGCAAGCATTGCTCTGTGTTTCATATTCTGATTCATCCTGCAGTGCCCAAGGAGAGAGGCACGGAGAGACAGTATCCCTGTGTGTCAATATCCAGCTGGATCCTGTGGCTAGGACTGGGTACCCCAATGCAGATCTATATGTTGAAGACTTTTGACTAAAATATTCTTTCAGAGTACTTTCAAATTTAATTTCAGACAAGACTGGAAAATACAATAATCCTGATATACCTAATTTGCACATAGTTTATATTGTACTGATTAATATTAGGTCAGATATTAAAGTGTAATTATACCAATTTCTTAAGCAGATGACACAATAATATATTATCATGCAGATATTTCACTTAATGAGAATCATGTAGAGTCTTGCAGTTCCAAATGACTCTCAGTGAACAGCATAATGACCTAAAAGCTTTCCACTAATTTCTAAGTATGAATATTTATATATTTAGAAAGTCAAAATGCTAAATGCTTACTGATTGTAGATAGATCTCACTACCATTGTGAGATAGCTTTACAATTGCATTATTAAATTCAGAAAATAATGAAAGCAATGCTATGATTGATGGAAATTGTAAGTCAAAAGTTATTTCATCATTAGGTAAAAATCACTGAAATATATACTTTTTTTTTGTATAAGTCCTTTAATGTGCATCACAGAGCTTCATGTTAGGAGTCCACAGTGGACTATTATCCATTTTAGTTGAATATTTAAAACCAAGAGCTAAATAATTGATGGAAAAGATGTTAATACAATCAAAAATTGGTAGTAATTAACAGTAAAAAAAATGAAGGCTTTTTGATGACTTCTCTACAGAAAGGAGGAGACATAATTTCTATACATAATCTAAAAATCTCTCATTGTTTACATTAAAGAAAATATATGACTCTTAAACCTGAGTATTTTTATTAGATAGACATTCTTTTAATAATAAGACAGCAAACTCTCAGAGCTGATACCTGTCTTGGGAAAACTGAGTTCAACCGTTATTGCCTACAGATAATCCATGTCAGCCGGGTCAAGACACTTTACTCTGCTTCCCAATTCCAGAGTAACCAAGGTTTTAAAGGAATCCTCTGGGTTGTTGACCTAATGCTTTACAACCATACAGCAGGTATGATATCTAAAAGAATCCACAAACAGCTTCACTTTCTCTGTGGGTCAGAAAGCACTTCTTCTATCTTAGAAAACTTAGATTTACAGGGCAGAAGTTCACAGAATGGGAATATAAACTTCCTTAAGAGGAAGTGGGGGAAGATCAAAGGCACTGGTCAGCCTGCTGCAACTCTGGATGGATTTATTAAGAGAAAATTCTCAGATACTTCCAGCTGCACCTCAAATTACAGATGCAACTAACTTAAATAAAGCTGCCAGATATAACTGTAAGGAAAAAAATCCTTCTTCACCTATTATCACCTTTAAAACTTGTGCTTTTTGTCTCTGTTAAATCCATTTTTTGGAAAGTTATGTTGATCAAGGGTCAGAGCTCTGCAAGCAATCAGAAGCTCTAAGCCTCACAGGAGAAGTATTTGTGGTCATGGCAGTTAGAGGGTATGCAGGCTCCTACTGTAACCTTTAGGCTTTCAATACCATTTCTGAGCAGAACGTTGCTCTCAAAAGTAGTTAGGTGACAACATTTTGTGAAATGAAACCCTTAAGACCCCTTCCAAGCATATGAATCAACACAAAATATTGAATATTCAAGTTTATAGATATTTCTATTTCTATAGAAAAATATAGAATCACTATTCCTTAAAGTTGCTGGGGGAATTAAAAGGTCGTGGTCAAACTAACAATAGGATGACTAGGTGGATTTTGTAAAGCAAACCTAAAAGTTTTTCTTTTTAACTTTCACTTTGTTTAAAGACACTTTTAGTTTTTAGTTTATTTTAAAATTTATTCTGGTGCAGTTAAATATGTACATATGCATTAAATTATGCATATACATATGCATCATATATGAGTTTTGTATATGCATATACACTTATTAAAAAATAGGAGATGGAATTCAAGATAAAAAGCTCTTGTTTTTCAATGCTTTCAAAGTTAATGTTTAATTACATATATTCTGTGTTGGATGTTTTGCAAATTTTTAGTGAAAGGGTTTCAGAATGCAGTCTATTAAAACAAACATATCAGAAAAATTGAGTAAATTATCTATCATTCAAAGCCATAGTACATAATTGTCCAAATTTCTTATGAAAAATGCTGAAATAGACTGTGATTCTTTCAATCATTTCAGAGACAAGCATTACTCCAGACTCCTTTGTACACTTTATCTTTCCTATGGAATACTAATGTAATTCAACAAAAAGCATCCAAATAAAAAGTTTTGTAAAATCTCAGAGAGAAATTACCAATACAGCAGAAGAATCTTACATAATTCAAAATTGCCACCATCTGTAATTAAGATACTGGGTCATTGCCCTTAACAATCTAGTTGTAAAAAATATCAATATGGCTCACAGAAATATTTACTGTGTTTTATGATAGGAGAATATAAAACTGAATTCTACTAAGATGTGTACTGGGACTGTGTTTTAATCTCTTTATGCTGGTATCATTTCTCTGGGATATTCTATCTAGACTACTGAATCAAGGCACAGAATTGCAATGAAAGTTTTCTTGTTATGAAAGATTTTTCTTTTTTCCCTCTATGTAATGCCATTGTTGTGTTCACCTTATACATAGGCTGTGTTGCCTATCTAATTTCTACATGACAAGCAGTTTCAGAGTCATGTATTGATCTAATATTTCCTGATGAATCTGTCCTTTCCCCCTTCATTCCCATCACTAATGTCTGAGAGTGTCTTGCCTGTATGAAAGTTGTTTTGAAAGAAAGAAGTCCAGAATGACTGTCTCTGTCATCATCTTATGGGCTGGGAGGAATTCAGCTCCACAGAGCTCTCTTGGGGAGGAAGGGTTTGTTTCTACTTCTTCACATAAAGGCTTTGTGACAACAAAGTATTCAGTGACCCCACACTATGTCCACTATGTCTCCATGGCAAGAGTCTAGCTTGGGAACATTCAGTGGTTTTGGCAGGAAGTCTTGAAGGAATATGAGAGAGAAAGGGGAAAAAACATATTTAATGTTATATAAACTTCATTAAATCTGAGGAGACTCTCACAAGAGACAATAAAATAACTGCTTCTAGAAGGAAAGTCACTTACTAAAGCATAAAATTTTTACAATTGTACAGAGGAAAGTTTGTAACAGAATAATCTGTAACAGAATAATAATAATCTGTAACAGAAAACACTTGACATGCTAAATATGTGTGTGGTTTTTTAACTGTGATACCATACAGTTATGAAACCAAGCTTTATCTGGCTTTGAATCAAAATATTATTCTATTCAGTTTAACAGTGGGCTATAAATATATATGTACGTATGTATGTATGCATGTATATATAGCTGTTTACTTTTAGAAGCATATTATACTTTTGTCCACAGAAACCTATATTAAATATATATTTTATAGCACTTTCTTCCATCTCTTTCAGTATTATTCATTCTATATAGCAATAGCTGTAAAAGAATTAGCGAGATTTATCCCTAGAAAATTTTAAAAAGTGATACAAATACGTTTCATTCAAACACTTGTTGTAAATGAAAAGAATACTTGAAATTAAAACTGGAATACAACCTTGGCATGTACAACAACTCTGGTATGATCAATGACCTTCAACTCAACACTCCCTACTCAGGTAAAGAAATGAAAGATCACATAGAGTGTAATAGTTACTTACATTTGAAGCTAAGTACTGGACAAATGATGATAAGGAAATCGGATCTGAAATTTTAAGCCATCAGAATTGAGATGCCAGAAGCAAGTTAAACATTACTGAAGGAAATAGCTGACATATAAAATAAACAGGAATGCTACAGCACTCTAGAGAAAAAAGAGGGAAAACAAATAAAAGGAGTTTGATTCTGATTTGATTCTCAGCCTCTAAAAGATAGCTAATAGACCCATAGAAAGTTAAATAGTACATTTTCTTTATATTATAAACAAAATTACATTAAAATGTCAGTACTAGTGCTGAAAGCCAAGCAATCAAATATAAGGAAATACCTCAGCTGTCTCCTCACTCTCTTCACAACTAAGTGCTCACCCTCAGCCTGGCCCCTGGGACAGAACTCATATCATAGCAATAACGGCACAAGTTATTTTGTTTCCATTTATCCCGAAGAAACAGTGAGTTGCTTTTTAATTCCGTAATTGTTGAGCAAGATGCCAGCATGTTCTGCTGCAGATAGGAAGACTAAGTATTTCCCACGAGGAAAAATGAACATGATCTCCTAAAGTATACTGCACATTAGTTTC